GACTATCATCTGATTTCGAACCAAATTCTGACTCCTATATACAGATTCTAACAGCTCCCTTTGATAACATGAATGGGTTTGTAGCCCCGATCATCACCAACATAGCGCGCTATTTCTCTAACCCAATGCTATCTCTAGCTTCGAGATGAATGCAACTTTTTTCCAGGTATGATATCAATCTCGACAGAAATTTCTAGCTTCAATAATCTAACATTAATTATAGGGCACTATGTGTGTATATTAAGCCAGCAAGTTTATTGTATGAGGCGCTGACTTGTTCTAGATTCATCGAAGAGAACAATGAGTACAAAAACCAACAGAAGGAAATCCAACGAAAGCGAGGATCACCACCTGGAATGGCACCGCAGGAACTCATGATGTATTGGGGTGCGTAAAACAACCTATGAAAATATATACCTAGACCGGCTAACAATCCTAGGCTACAAATTCGAAAATCTGGCAGTACTTCGGAAGACGTGGGACGAATCAACCCGCGAAGAGATCGAAGGTCGTGAGAACGAAGTCGTCAATAACGCAGCACAGTATTGTTCCGTTGTCCGCACCGGCATCGGTAAGGTACGTATGATTCTCGGTGGAGAGGTTGATGCCAGTATGTTTACCCTTATTCTTGTGGCTATAGCCAGTGCTCACTCTATCTAGTTTGGGACAGCAAGCCCTCACGAAAAGAAGACCCCATTAACTGGGTCGAGCTGAAGACATCGGCTCAGATCCGCAATGATCGCGATATGATAAAGTATGAGCGGAAATTGCTCAAATTTTGGGCACAGTCATTCCTACTCGGTGTTCCTAAGATCATTGTTGGATTCCGCGATGAAAATGGCATTTGCCGTAGCTTGGAGGAGCTGGACACAGCCAGTATTCCCGGGAAAGTGTTGAGTGTCGGCCGGCGTACTTGGGATGGAAACGTCTGCATCAATTTTACTGGTGCATTTTTGGAATGTGCGTGATTCTTCTTGGTGAGCTTATAGCAGCACTGACACAATTTCCAGGGCTTAAGCAGACTATCAATCGGGAGGGGACGTGGAGAATTCGGAAGAAGGAGAAGTCTTCGGTCATCGAGGTCTATCAAGTTGAGGAACAAGGACATGGCGATATTCTCTCTCCTACTTTCAAGGCCTGGCGGTCGACCATGGCTGCAAGTTCATGACTGGAAAGTCTCATGTATGCTAGGGAGAGCTAATGTGCCTTTGTCGCTTGGATGTATCATTGCAATATTTGGCCTCTTATTATAATTCATTCTAACATACCTAGGCACAGGCCAGTGACAAGGGTAGGAATATGAAAAAGAGAAGGCGGGAGTTTATACTCGGAGGTGGAGGCGTCGCGCCTTCATGATTTCAATTGCCTCATTGGGACTCCCTAGGAGGCTGGGAAGGAACGAACGTTCGGCCTGAATTCCTCAGGGTACCGTTACATGGATCCCCCTCGACTGTATAAGAAGAATCTTGGGTATTTCTATGATTAATCTATCTTGGACTGTCCAATACACTCATGGCTGAGGTTCTGTTTCAGGAGCCTGGCTCGCTTGCGCTTCTAATTCCTTCTTTCGGAAATATTCATCGCGTTGTGCCCTCTTGCTCGCAGACCTGAGTCCACTTTTATGTCGATGACTTTTCAGATGAATGTTCCACTGGTCCTCAGAAGCCATAGTCTTCTGGCAGACGTCACAGGTATAGCATTTCCCAATTGGGTCTGTTTGTACACGCTTTTGGGTCTGAGCTTCCTTCGCGCCGAACTCTGTCGTTGCCAACTGAGAAAGGGATTTGGGATCCGGGGTCGGTTTGCTTTGCTGCATCAGTTGCACAATTTTCTCGGACGGCTCAGTGATGCACTTGCTCCAGTCGTTGACATTGGAACTGTCCAGGAGGTAAAGACGTTGTGTCTCTCCAGCTTCTGTGAGTGCGTGCCAGAGTTTGTTGCGGATCCATTTGACCTGCGACGTTCCGTACTGCCGTGTAGCGATGCGAATTAATTCAAGGGATTTTAGTCTGAGATCTTCGATTTCTTTCTCGCTTGCTTCTCCGTCCCGGATAGCCTTGAAGTATGGCGCCAATTCCTTGAATCCAATGGACACCCAGACTCCCCGTGTTTGATCAACTTCAATGCCCTGCGAGGCTTTTTCCTGCAAGTAGTCTGACATCTTCTCCGCCTCGGTCATCAAGCCCTGCTTGACCATATCATCGACGCGTGCATCCAGGCGCGCGTTGAGGACCTCCTTCTCGGCATGTACCCAGAATACTAACGTATTCTCGAACCTTAGCAACCCCTGCTCCTGGTTTATCGCCTTTCTTTTTTGAGAGAACTGCTCTTTGTAAATCTCCGAGGCTTGTCGTCCTGTTTGAAAATAGATTTCCAATGACCGCCGGATTTTCCGCGCATCTTTCGGATGCCATCGTGCAGCCATAACAGGGTCCACCTCGCGCAGCTTCTCCAAGAGAACTTCAGGCGATGAATCTAGAATTGGCCATTTCTTCGAGGTTGTGCTGAACTCCGTGAGCTGTTCCCGCTCGCCTTCGTCGTCCACTCCCTCGCCCACGAGCTGTTCTTTAAACAGCACTGCTTGGGTATAATAGTGGGTGCCCCCAACGAGGATTGGAACCTTGCCACGGGCGCGGATGTCTTCAATAACACGCAGGGCTTCTCGCTTGAACAACCCGATGCGCCATGGTTCCGCGTCTAAATCGATGCAACTGAGGAGGTGGTGAGGGATGCCGTTCCGTTCTCCTGTCGGAATCTGGTTTGTTATGATCGGCAGACCGCGGTACATCTGCATGGCATCGCCATTGATGATTTCACCGTTGAATCGAGAGGCCAAGTCCACTGCAAGCTGTCTACAGCTATCAGTCATTGTGTCTGGAGGAAGTGTACCGTACTTGGGATCATACCTTTGACTTGCCTGTGCCCGTGGCACCGACAACGGCTATGAGAGGATTCATGATTCTTTGACCGTGCCAGATAGATCGTAGAGCCGAGATCATACCGCGATGCTCATTGCAGCGAGGGGAAAAAAAAAGGTGTTATCTGCCTTATCAGGCGGGTTACCTCATCCATGGCGTACCGGCCCCGGGGAATCGTCTCATCGATGTTACATGAGCGCTAAGATCAAATCAGTCTAAATAAATTCGAATTGAACACCCTTGTCTGACTCATTTTATCTTCCTTTTAATTCCGAAGTCTCAGTTCTTTCGGTGGTTTTTCTTTTTCTCCCATACTCGTCATGGCGGATACCAATCCCACTCTCCCCTCCATTGAGGTACAGAACCTCTCGTACAAGTTCCAAGATGGCTCTGATGGCTTGGAGAATATAAAAATGAGCCTCCCAGCTGGAAGCCGCACCCTATTGATTGGCGGTGAGTCAAATTCATCCCCATTTTAGATTAATCTTGGAGACTAATCCAAACACACAGCAAATGGAGCGGGGAAGACCACCCTCCTCCGCCTCCTAGCAGGGAAACGCCTTGCACCCACTGACACCATCGCCATTGGTGGCAAGGATCCCTTCAAAGACAGCCTCGATGGCGTGACCTACTTGGGAGTCGAGTGGGTGTTGAACAGCATCGTGCGCACCGACATCGACGTGCCGACGCTGCTCGCCTCTGTCGGCGGAAATGCCTACCCAGAGCGCCGGGACGAGCTGGTCGATATCCTCGATATCGATCTACGCTGGCGTATGCATGCCGTCTCGGACGGAGAACGCCGCCGCGTGCAGCTTGCCATGGGCTTGCTGCGTCCCTGGCAGGTTCTGCTGCTCGACGAGATCACCGTCGACTTGGACCTTTTGTCCAGGAGCAATTTCCTGGCTTTCCTGAAGCGGGAGACTGAGACCCGTGCTTGCACTATTGTTTACGCTACCCATATCTTGGACAACCTCGCCCAGTGGCCTACCCATCTGGTCCACATGCACCTGGGCAAGGTCAAGGCACTGGGTAGTGTTGAGTCATTCCATGACGAAGTCCCCGAGTGGACTTCGGAGAATAGTCGCCTTGGAGAGCTTGTTCTTAAGTGGCTCAAGGAGGATATGAAGCTCAGAGGTCCCCGGGATAACCGTGGTAACCAGGGCAAGACCTACCAGTCCCTTGAAGGTCTTGGAGGTTACGGACTGGAAAAACCCGAATGAGAAATAATCTGGAAAGAGATCTGACAGTTTTTGTTTTTGTGTTTTCTATTTTTGCATGCGAACACTGATGTCAGGAGTCATTTAACGTGCCATTCAACAACAATTGGGTTCAACCAAAAGGCATAGACGGGGTTTATGGGTTGGCATCTGCATCTACAGGGAGGATTTATTCAACACTTGGGAGTTTTCAACAGTCATGACTCATGGAGGGGGCTAAACTATTTCTTTTGTACGTACAAATCATGAGAGCGTGTTCAAGCTAGTATATATACGTGTGGGTGTGTCCTCGCTTACCTACAATTTGGACTAATCCTTGATATCCGCCTCTGATAAAACGAAGTGTTTATAAATATAATGTTAATGGAAGCGTTAGCCTTCCGAAATCCAAAGGTTCTTTGCAATCCGTCCTATTCTGGTCAAATGAGGTCTGAATGAGCATGTCACCGTCTATCACCTCTCATCGCTTCGTCTTCTGTCCTTTCTTATCAATCCATATTTCTTACTGTCGAGGACCTCAGACTCTTCGGGATCAAGACCTCCCAAGTGGAATATATGTAATGGAAAACTGCGATTTGACCCTTGCTTCTTTCAGCCACACCCAGAGAAAGTTCTCCAGAAACACCATAGATATCTACATCTTAACTAACTGAAAAGCCATTTCAAAAGAAATCTCGAATGATATTGGAAAGACATCTCAGTGGAATCGTAATTAATATTTCAACAATTGGATTCAACGAGGCATAGATGGGGCTCATGGGCACAAGAATCTTATAGACTACATAATTCTAAGGGATATAGAAGGCGATATGGGCAAAAGACTCCAATTGCAAAGATGAACTGCGAGACCATGTCATGAGCCCTTTCACGCATGGGGCCTCACCTCAAATGAAGTCTCATACGACCTCCACTTCCACATAGGGATATTAGCCGCATACATCTCATCGATCTCGGCAAAAGTTCGGCCACGTGTCTCCGGCATGGAAAAGTAAAAAAAGATAATGATGGCAGCCATACAGCCAGCGAAGATGAGATAAGTCTTCGCACCAAGGTTAGCCGCATCCGCCGAAGTCAGCCGTGGAACGACGAGAGTGGTGATGACGGCAGTTGTTTGGGCACAGGCAACTGTGTAGGACATGGTGTGATGGCGGAATTTGGGAGTTGCCATTTCGGAGGGCATGAGGTTCGCCAGCGAGGAGAAAGAAGATGCCCAGAAGAAGTTGAATACAAAGGACAACCCGGCGATGGCCATGGTAGCTTTTTTGTTGCCTCTGTCGAAGGCTAAGCCACCGGCTACGGCGTCGATTATGAACATAATTCCCATCCCGAAAAATGCCGTGGGACGTCGACCGGCACGGTCGATGACGAAAGGTGCAACAATGGTGCCGGCTAATGTGCAACAGGAAGCGATTATTGTCAGGGAGAAGGCGTCTGCAATGTCTAGCTCTGTGAGGAAGACGGTTGCATATGTTGTTGAAAGAATGATGCCTGATATTTGGTTAAGAGAGAAGAATGAACCCGCAGTCAGGGTGCGTTTGAGGTGCTGTCGCTGGAAGATGTGCCAGAACTTGATCTGGCTGTGGATCTGGCGCTCATTTTCTTCAGATAGCTTCATGAGACGGAGTTCATCTTCAACCTCAGCGTCGCTGAACCCACGCAATTTCCGCAGGCTGTGCCGAGCGTCTTCTATATTTCCCTTTCCGGCCAGCCATTGTGGGCTTTCTGGAAGGGGCACTGTCAGGATGAGAAGAATGACAGGCAGGACACACTGCACAGCTATTGGGATCTGGTATGACAGGTTTCCATCGATTTTTTCCGTTCTGAAGACCACCACGGTGCCTACCACACCAGCCGTTAAATTCAAGATGTTCATTGAACTGACACATCTTCCGCGTATAGAAGCAGGAACCACCTAAATACAAGAATTAGCATCATTCAACATCGAACAAGTGGTAAATGATCAATACCTCGGAGACATACAAAGGGGCAGTCACACCCACGATGCCCAAAGCAACCCCATTGATAGAACGACCTCCCACAAAGGCCCCCAAATTCGGCGCAAAGACCTGCAGTAATCCGCCACCCACAGATACGAAATACGCAATGATCAAAGGCCATTTGCGACCAAGGTGGAAATTCATTGGCGAACCAAGCAGACCTCCGATCACCGAGCCCGCCAATGGAAGGGAGAAGACCAGATTTTGATTGCGAGCCGTGAGGACATACTTCCCAGTGGCTGGGTTAGGTCCTTGAAATTTCTCAACCTGTATTCGAATCAGCTGGGATCATCTTTTGCTATGATTGCATCAGCACTCACAAAATCCGGCAATGCAGCAACCGGGGAAATGATCTTGTCGTCGAATCCGAACAAGAACGAGGCGGCAGCAAATACTGTACAGGCGAAGATCAACTGGACATTGATCGCTTGAGATTTTCGAGACGAATGTGAGTAGTCGATATGTTGGGTTTCAGTCGAAGCGCACTTGAAAGGCATGTTGCAGATTGTCCGGATCCAATGGAGTGTGAGCGTACACCCTCGAAGACACACTTCCATGCGGATACCCTATATGCCCTATATCAATTCATATTGAATAAACAATCAAAAGGAAAGTTCCCCAGATCCCCCAGGTTTTGCCCCAAACTCTCTCAGCCCCCCCGGATTTATTTTTTGGGGAGTTTCTCCGAGGTTTCCCATTTCAGTTGACACTGCAGGGATGTGGTGATATACCTCATTGCATACACTCTACTACCAGGTCTATTCATCTATTCATCTATCCATCTACTTGTCTACTCTGCTATCAGCTACGGAGTAGTCTATTTTAATTTCGCCGACGATCCTCCTGCATATGCCGAACTTATTCCCGATTGACCTCCGAATCGAGGGATCGGCGATTTGGGCTTCAATATCTCGTTCTTTTCTATGGACCACATTCTCTCAGACTAGTTATGCATAATTTTAAATCCTTAGTGGATCCCAACATCACATGCATTTGTTAAGCGACGTGGCCAAGTTTGAACTGCGATAGAGTATATCTCTACGTGGTCATCCGCTGCAAAACAAATCATCTACTTCCTGCTTTTGCATCAAACCCAATGCTAAACATATCTGATTCTGTCATCATAACAGAATTGGACATGTCTGTCCACAAGCCTGGGCAAAAACCAGAGCAAGCTCTTTGCAAAGCGCACGAAGAGAAGAGCTTACCTCGAGATCCTTCACAATGGAGGCCATCATTCCATGTCACAGCACCTGCAGGATGGTTGAATGACCCGTGTGGATTGGGATACGACCCAACTACAGGGTTATACCATTTGTGCTTCCAATGGAACCCGCACGGGAATGATTGGGGCAATATCTCATGGGGCCATGCTACATCCCCAGATCTAGTGTCATGGACGACATCCACCACTCCCATCTTGACGCCCTCTGCTAAATACGACCGCCGGGGCGTATTTACGGGATGTCTACAGGCAACAGATGCCTCCGGACACCCGGGAGCTCTCACAATCCTATACACCTCAGTGAGCCATCTCCCGATCCACCACACGCTACCATATACACTCGGAAGTGAATCTCTCAGTTTAGCTGTCTCGCAAGACGGAGGCAAGACCTGGGAACGCCAGGACTGCAACCCGGTCCTCACCGGCCCGCCTCCACATTTTAACGTGACGGCCTGGAGAGATCCTTTCATTACAACTTGGGCCGAGGGACCTCTTTCCAAACACACACCATCAACACTATACGGCTTTATGTCAGGAGGAATTGCCAAGAAAACCCCAACAATCTTTGTCTATACTGTCCAGGCAACAGACCTCGGCAAGTGGGATTTTATTGGCCCATTGGTCGACATTGGCCTCAACCTACAACCATCTCGCTGGTCTGGCGATTACGGCGTGAACTGGGAAGTCGCCAATCTAATGACCCTGACCAATGACACTGGCACGTCTCGGGACTTCATCATCATGGGAGCTGAAGGCTGTGTGCCGTTGGATAGTTCGAATCCAACCCAAAACGGGGACCAAGAAGCACGCCGGAAACGAGAAGCCCGAGCCCAGCTCTGGATGTCTATCACGTCCAACGGAGACAAGAATTCTACTTCCACAGACATTTCTCTGGCCTCATATGCATTCTCTGGTATCTTCGATCATGGCTGCTATTATGCGGCCAACTCATTCTACGACCCTCAAACCTCGCAACATATCGTCTGTGGCTGGATCACAGAAGAGGACCTGTCTGATTCTCTGCGTCATCGCCAAGGATTCAGCGGCTTGATTTCACTTCCTCGTGTGGTGGGACTGATGACATTGAAGAAGGTCAAGAACGCACGGAGCTCGCAATTGAGTTCAATCACCTCAATCGACGTAGTCCCCGATGCACCTGGCACTGGTACCTTCACGATCCATACCATGAAGATCAGTCCAGATAGCCGACTTACACGACTGCGACAAAGTACCCGGGAGAGCCATATCGCTGGCGTTACCCTATCTACTTCACCTTCACAAAGTGCAATGATGTTAGGGACATCTAAATGGGAAATCGATGCCGAATTTTCCATCAGTAAAGCTTGTGCACGCGTTGGTATCAAGATTCTACACACTTCTGGTAAGGCATTGGTTCTGCTTCTCCGGGTCTATGATACATATGCTGATACTTGTTCTTCTAGATGCTCAAAACTGTACGACCATTTCCTGGGATCCACGAAGTGAGACCTTCGAAATCCATCGACCTCTGATCGACAATGCCGACGTGAATGACGGCTATGAAACTGCCCCGCACACGCTGTTTACTTTCCTGGGCGAACATGGCGAGGAGATTGAAGAGACGCTTCGGGTACACGCTTTCTTTGACTCGAGTGTGTTAGAAGTGTTTGTCAATGACAGAACGGTCATCTCCACACGAATCTATCACCCAGCAGATCATTGCTTCGGAGCACTGTTCTTTGCAGAGTCTGATGCTGGGGTGGATGATGGGCAGCCAGCTGCCGTTCTCGTGCGAGCTTCTATTTGGGACGGTCTTGGTGTACGAGAGTTAGCGAATCCACCGCCGAGGTTATAGACATATCCTTTTTGTGTGTATATAAATAGGGTTGGAATCTGCAATATGCAAATATTATGAACATTATGTATAATATACACTGCATGTAGTATGCAGCGCAGTGGATCTCAGTAATAAAACAGGGTAGAAGCAGACACGGCGTGGGCCATCATGAAACCAGCAAGATGAAGCAATCAAAATGCACCCGCCTAGAGCCATGGTCATCACATCGTCGCCAAAAAGACTTCCATTGGAAGCGCGAATACGCACACAAAAACCAAAGGCATCTTTCACTTTGTACCGTACATCCCAGGTATATATGCATGGACAATCACAATCATAAGAGCAAACAAGAACAGAACGGAGCGGGTGGAGAGTTCCCTTGAACTTATCGGGAACCGCGCTTCCAGAATTTCCAGCTGGGGAGGTCAATCCGACCATCTCGCTGGTAGATACGCCAGTAGTAGACGGGCACGCCAGTAATGATGAACGCGACGACGATAAGTGTCTGCAGGGGCTCGGAGATGATAGCCCGGCTGAGGAGGAACAAGCTCACGCAGCAGAAGATGATGGGTGTGGTGATCCAGGTGCGGTAAGGGCGTTCCAGCTGGGGTTCACGAATACGGAGGACGATCAGGCCGAGAACGGTGAGGAAGTAGAAGGTGTATCCGGCTACACCGTAGAAAGTGACGAGGGTGCCGAACTCGCCGACGATGATGTAGATGGCTGTAAGGGCGCCATTAAAGGCCATAGCATAGATCGGCGTGAAGCCGAGGCTGGATTCATCGCCGAAGAGACGGGAAAGGGACTTGCGGGCCCAGGAGCGGCGGCGTAGTCGGCTGGTTGCTGGAGGGCCTGGCGTGGGAGAGGCGTGGAGACCGATGCGGCCGAATATTGAGGGAAGGTATCCCTCCTTGCCGGCTGCGTAGACTAGTCGGCCGCTTGTGAAGGTGGTTGCGTTGAGCGCTCCGAAGCAGCTGGCTGAGACGACGAGAGCTAGAACCAGGGCTCCAATGGGACCGAATACTTTTGCGCCGAATTGTACGGCGACGGTGTTGCTTGCTTCAATGGTGGAGTGAGGGAGAACTAGGAAATATGCAATATTGGCGAGCAGATAGGACATGATGACCATTGGCATCGCTGTGTGGATGACTCGTGGCAGATCGCGGTTTGGGTTCTTGAACTCGCCTGTCACGTAGTTGGTCTGCAATGTGTGAGTAGAAGCATTTTAGATATATGCGCGAGTCAACTTACATTGTCCCAGCCGTCAAATGCCCAGAGACCTGCATACAGAGCCACTGCGAAATCAGAGATCTCGGTATTGGTTCCCTCGAACCATCCTGTCGTCTTCCATTCTTCATTTGCATGTCCACCAGCTGAAAAGCCAGTCACAGCGACTATAATACCGATGACGGTGACTGCCAGTAGGGCAATGAACTTGAAGAACATAAAAAAGTCACCGATGCGGGTAGCGAACTTGGTGGAAATGCAATTGAGCAGAGTCACTGCCAGAAGTCCTCCAAATGCAACACCCTTATTGATCCAAGGATTGAGATCACCCACATCGGCGCCCACAAATGCGCGAACGACATATTCGCCAAAGATGAGAGAGATAATCGCCGCAGACCCAGGCTTCAGTACTAATACGGCGCACCATGCGAACAGGAAGCCCGTCAGCTCTCCAAAGATCTTGGAAAGATAAACCTGTGAGCCTCCATTCAGCGGGATGGCTCCTCCTAGCTCTGCATAGCTAGCAGCGCCTGTCCAGGCCAATAACCCAGCTACAGCCCAAACGATGAGCGATGCGCCCGGCGACCCTGCGTTCGCGTTGACCTGACTCGGCGATGAGAAAATACCAGATCCAATAATCAGTCCGACGATAAGCGATAGCCCATTCAAATATGTCAATGTCTTATTCCGCTCCAGCGACCCATCTGTGAATCCTGGTCTGTCCGCGGACGGAGTACCGAGGGGCGCGTAGCCACCCTGTGTTTGCGACAGCGGGAATAGAGTGGCCCCGAAATCAAAGGCCGAGGATATGGAATATGAGCTCTGAGCTCTATGGCGGCCTGTTCCTAGCTCGGCATCATGCGATTCTGCGAGAGGATCTTCGTCTGCGAGGGAGAGCTTGCGGGATGAGGAGATGCCGTCGGAGGAGGAGGAGCGTGAGGACCCGCCTATGGAGCCAGGGGATGAGGATGCGAGAGAGGCAAGTTCTAGTGAATCTCGACGGGCGGCGAGGCTGCCATTCCGGTTGCCTTGGTATGTATTCGACATAGTCTCTTTTGTGTTCAGAGTGTATAAGTTAAGGAGAGAGAGGATGGCGGAAAGGTATGTCGTCAGGAGTCGCCAAGGGAAGTCTCCATTGCCTGAAAGGAATATCGAGGGTGTCGAAAATGTCAATTCTGTAGAGAGGAGAAATCCTCAAAGTGAGTTGAAGTGAAGAAGAACCGCCAAGGGGGTGTATTTTCTTGTATTTTCTTGTCGATCGCCCAATCGGCTCTCTCTTGGCCTCGACCTTCGAATTTCCGCCCGTGATTTCTTTTCCTCTCCATTTGCGCTTCCACACATGAACAACTTACCCTCTTTACGCTGTAGAAGCAGCCAAGGTCTCAGAGCTGTAGCTCAGCCTGTGCGCTATGCTTCAACCTCAGCCTCGACGTCACCAAAGCCTTCCCGTTCCAACTCGCGCTGGCTAAGCATCGTCTTTGTGGGCGCAGCAGCAGTAGGTGCAGGTGCCTATATCCGATCTCAAAACACATCATCCGCGACCTTGAACCCAGAAACATTTACCAAATACAGCCTTGTGTCACGCGAACCTGTGTCCGCAACCAGCAGCCTTTTCACGCTACGGCCACGCAAACCCAGCGACAGCAATTACGATGTCTACGAGGAAGCATGGCAGAAAGGAGTCTGGAGTGTGATGTTCAAGCAACCACAGTTACAAATCGGACGTGATTATACGCCGCTGCCCACGACGGCGGCGACATCGCTAAGCGTCGACGACGAGAATGAGGGCTGCCTGCGGTTCTTTATTCGGAAGGATCCCTTTGGAGAGGTCTCGCGCTACCTGCATACTATCGATGTAGGCGCCGACGTTGAGATGCGTGGACCCAAGATCGAGTGTGAGATCCCGAAGGAGACCGAGGATATTCTCTTTATTGCTGGTGGGACGGGGATTGCGCCGGCTCTGCAGGCTGGGTATTCTCTTTTGAATCGCACGAATACGGAGCGTCGGCCGAAGATCCATATATTGTGGGCTAATCGGTTGAAGGACGACTGCGCCGGTGGTCACAGCGATTCCTTGAAGCCGCAGCCACGCCGGGGCTGGTTCTCTGGGTGGTTTGGCTCATCGAAGAGTCAGGAAACCTGGTCGGAAAATGCTGATGTTGTACGAAAAGAGGACACTTCTATTATTGTGCGAGAGCTAGAGGCGCTCAAGTCCCAGTATCCCGGGCAGGTCACTGTGGATTACTATTTGGACGAGGAAAATACGTTCATTGGAAAGGAAGCTATCCGAGGTGCTATTGCCCCAGCGACAAGCGACTCTCGCAAGAGCAAGTTGATTATGGTTTCCGGTCCTGAAGGGTTCATCAGTTACATGGCTGGGCCTAAGCTATGGGCGCAAGGTCAGGAGCTCCAGGGCCCTCTGAAGGGAGTCATCAAAGAACTTGATCTCAAAGATTGGGGTGTGTGGAAGCTCTGACTGCTTTCCCTTGTGCTTTTTGGACCACTTTTGTACAAACGTCGAAACCTTTTTGTCATTAAAGCATATATAGCATGGATATACTGGGAGTTATGTTGAATAAACAGTCGCAACTGTCCTGGACATATTATAGCGTCCTATTTCGTTACCCATCACACATTCCTGGCCGAAAGCCCCAGGGTTGAATTCGCTCAAACATCGATATTATCTTCAAACTCAATCTACTGTGCTGTAGCAAAGTCCTCGAGGTACTTCACTAGCCTCTGCACATCCTCCAATGGAACTGCATTGTAGTTGCTGGCGCGCATACCGCCTACACTGCGGTGGCCCTTGAGGCCCTGGAGAAGACGCTCCTCAGCGCCAGCGATGAACTCCTTCTCCTTTGCATCATCGCCGCCGCCGACGCGGAAGCAGATGTTCATGCGGCTGCGGACGCTGACGTCAGGAACAACCTGGTACAATTGCGGGAACTTTTCCAAAGCACCGTAGATGAGCTGCGCCTTCTTGTTGGCGACTTCCTCTTGGCCGCTGACCTTTTGAGCGCTGAACTTAGTCATCAGGTCGGCCATGACCTGGCCGGCAATCCAGAGGTTGAAGATGGGGAGGGTGTTGTAGAGGGAGTTGTTCTTTGCGATGGTTGCGTAGTCGAGAACAATTGGGCCGGGGAGACCGCCAATGTTCAAGCGGTGGAGGAGAGCAGGGGAAGGAGTCGCGGTCTGGGGAGGGAGGAGGTCCTTGCGAACGATAGCAATGGTGATACCGGTGACACCGATGTTCTTCTGTGCGCCACCCTGTATATATCATTAGCATACCATTCCTATAAAGTGGAGAGATTGAAGCCAACGTACGAAGATGACAGCGTATTTGCTGACATCAACCTTTCGGCTGATGAAGTTGGAGCTCATATCGGCGACAACGAGACGCTCATCTTCGGCATCCTGACCCTGAGCCTCCAATGACTTGGGGAACTGCGGGAACTCGACACCATCGACGGTCTCATTGTCGCAGAAGTAAACAAATGCAGAACCCTTGCCGCCCTCCTTCTTGGTAGGAGTCAAGGACCAGGAATCCTCGGCGGGGATTTTTCCAAACTTCCCATCGTTGGTCTTGCGAGAATCAAGAGCAACATTCACGTATTTTGAGCCGATCAGTCTGCTCGCTTCCTGGGAAGCCTTGAGCGACCAAGATCCAGTCACAAGGTAGTCCAGCTTCAGCTCCTCATCGACCTCCTTTTGAAGTCTCTGGAAGACCAATTCGTCAACCTCAGCTTGTTCCGCATCGGGCTTTGCCTTCTTCGCATCGGCCTCGGCTCTGCGGCGGCGACGCTCAATCCAGACGGGGACCAGGTTCTGCACGACAGCGCTGAACTCGCCACTGCCTCCGGCTTGCATGAACAGAATCTCATAGTTATCAGGAATATCGAGGAGAGCGGAAAGGTTGGCTTTGGCATCGTTGAGGACTTTGTTGGCGGTGGGCGAGCGGTGCGAGATCTCGCCGAGTCCGAGTCCGGCCTCGTTGAAGTTGACGAATGCCTTTGCGCCGGCCTCGACGACTGGGGTTGGGAGGGGAGCGGGACCAGCTCCAAAGTAGGAGACTTCTTGTCGGGAAGGCATGATGAGGTTAATTGAGGTAGATTTGAGGTAGAAGAGAAAGAGAAGAAGCGGGAGAGAAAAACCTCAAAGTGTGGACCGCAGTGGATCAAACCTTGGAGGAAAAGTAAGAAGGAATATAGCTATTTATATTTTCAAATGGCAGGACTTGCTAGAATATCAACATGCAGCCTAATATATTCACCGGATCTGCGTTTACACACCCAATTGACTATTTTATAGGTCAATCCTGGCAATGGCGGGGTATGAGTCAATCCGTTATGGGCCATTGAGTCACCATCTCAGAAGGTGAGGGTGCAAACTTATTCCCTTTGGTTTTTACTGACTAGATATACATAGTAGAGGCATATCAAAGACTTGTATCGCATTCCAATTGTTCACGATCTAATCTATTCGAGCTCAACTTTGGAATGGCGGGGTTGATCGACATATACAAGGTTGTATAGTACAGAATGGCTGTTCTTCCAAGATTGGTTTATGGACAAGGTAGATAGGAGCAAAGATCTCGTTCTTTTCCTGTTTTCAATTACTCTTTTCATAACCTCTGTTCTTCTTACTGAAAAGTGAAATATCTGAAGACAGAGATAATAGGCCGACATCGGGAGTCACATGCTACACTGCCTGGTTTGCAGTGTTTGTCTCCGAAGTATATTCCACGATATAATGCATCAAACTCATAATTGAAAAATATATGGTTATGACTGTGGTGTAAATCCAGTAGTGTAGGTCTTTCTTATGTAGAGAGGGGTCCGTCGCATGGTAATAATTCTGAGATTTTGGACAATCTTCGAACTTTCCAAGGTTTGAAGGTCGCAGTATAGAAGTAGAATGAAGATAACTTTGTCAAAGGAAGACCAGGAGAGTTTTGTACAGCTTAGGCCATAGTTAGCTCTCCATAGATGGATCCCACTAGTTTGTCACTGAGCATCTGCTGAATAGTGTGTACCTTATGGCACTCCATTTCCAGATGTAGTAGTTTGTCCTTTCTAGTTCAAATGAGGTCTGCCATATCGGCGATATTGTCTAGGGTCTCTCTATCATCGACATATAATGTTATGATAGTGCCCAGTGACCACGAGATAAGTCGTCTCTTCCAAGGTTCCTATCTGATCTCAGCCTTAATAAAACACTGAGAGTGGATGTAGGTGTATCTGGATCTAGGACCAACCTCAAAGATGCTCCCTAGTAGGGCGAGGGTTATCTAAGAGAACGGAATGAGAAGGAAGATATATAGATTATAGACAGAGAAGGAACATGTTAAAGTGAAGTCAAATAGCAAATAGGTAAGAGACACCGTAAACATCCCGAAACAAAAAGCACCTACATAACAAACAGAAGTCGACCTCTTCCTCTTTCGCTCCTTCACTTCTCATCACTCTGTCCATCTTAATCCATCGTCTATCGACCACCCATCAATCATCGTGCGTCGATAAATTCACTTCCAATCATCCACAACCATCCACGCTCTTAACTACCCGCCATGTTTCACCCTGTAGCCGAACAAGACCCCAGCAACCCTCTGAATCTTCCGATCTATGAATGCTGGTTCTGTCCAACGAGATGGATAGGCTTTTCCGGCCTACTCTTTCACCTTGAAGACGGCCGCTGCGTGAAGAAGGACCGAATCCGTACCCTCGCCTTCGAGTCCCCAGAGTATGGCTTCTATGGGAACCATCTCACCGACGATAATCCATTCTTCTGCTTCAAATGCCACGCTCAATTTCCGCAAATTTCATACCTTTATTACCATGTCGAGCGCAACTCTTCCTGCTCGCACCTGCTCGACAAATCCGAGTGCCTAGATGCTCTCCGTGACTTCTACATTGAGTACTACGAGTGCCCTGGTACTGATTACGTCCACTATTGAGTTTTATTCTCCATGGGTTCTGATACCAATTCGCCATTGGAATTGTGAGCTGCTAGGTATGGTGCGAGCGCTTTGGGGTGGATCAATTTGCCTAGTGCTCATTTCGAAAGTGGTGGAGATATCGATGGTTTCTTTTTCGTTTGTTCTGTAGGGGGATGAGTGGGCTACAGTGAGATGAGGCGTAGTGCCTTGTTCCTTGTTCGGAAAGGTAATGGCATGGAATATGGGTAAAATAGTTTACATCACCAAATACCATCTATCAGGCGATCTTCCTATACATGTATGAAATGGCCCTAGACGATAGACAAACCAAAGGAATAACGCAAAGGAAACACAAAAACAAAAATAAGGGCTTAGCAAACCCTTAACGGGGAGTACATATCTTTGAATAAAGCTAAACAGCCCCTACAGGAAGAAGCCACATGGACCGACAGGGATGATGAAGCTATTCATAGCACACCCTGCACAACCAGATCGGTGGTTATCCGGCCTATTTCAAACCTCACCCTTCCCTATCAGACTACTGGCTTATTATAGAGTATAAATTAATATATTTTTTTATTCTCTCTAAGCAAAGATGGGGGTCCAGTTTTGTTCTTGTCTTGTTTTATCTTGTTTTCAGGGCTCTTTCCCTTTTTCACTTTTCTACTATGTTCTGTGACTATTTACAATCCTTCTAGAAGGAGTTGACATTCCACACAGCCATCCCGCTATTCTTAGATCTGACATGAGTTTTAGAATTGAATCATCAAAGTCCGACATGTATCTTAGTCTAATAGCAAATAGATATGATATAATAACCAATAGGAAAAAAGCCATAGAAATATCTTTGTATCTATGTGAGTAATCACAATGATCGACGCCCCTCCCAAGCATGTTTCAACCTCAAACTAGGCTCTCTCCAGGACTATACAGCTGAAGCTCGCCTCGGCATTAGAATTATCATGATACCGTAGCATCTATGATGACAAGAATAGCCCCCAACCTGAGTGTGTCAATTTAGGGCGTGTTGTGTTTCGTATCGGTACATCTGGCCCTACTGAGACTTCCACTAAGTACTATGTAGGTACTTTGCGGAGACCGTATCTGGATCCTGACTCAGGTAGATCATTCATGTTTGACAGACTTCTCTGCATCTTTGACAAGGACAATAGGGGTGTTGTGGCTCATTTTCTAAAATGAACCCGGGGTTCATTCCTAGGTGCCTAGGATGATGATGATGAATGGGGCCCCGGCAACCAAGGCAGACAATTTTGGTGGCCCCTTTTCTTTATATAAGTATCGGGTTGATAATCGAAAGTGATCTTGGTTGTTTAATCATTGCATACATTATTAGTCTATCGAGCTGCTATTCATACACAATTGCATCGGCTTGTCGCAACTTCTTCGCCGACACATCACCTCCCGTCTACCACTTTGAAGCTATTCCAGCAGTTATATCTGCCTAAATCATTCACAATGATGATTCTTGCAATGGGCCGAGGAGGGTACAATGCCCCCGCCAACCACCCATGCCCCAAGCTTCTGTCTGGCCAAAATTAGGCTGTCCAGAAAGTGCATGATGGGAAATGCACTCCCAACAATCATTTAAATCATCTCAGCAAGTTGATTTCACAACTCTTGCTGAACGAGTCACCACAGCATTCCAGGTCAACCTCGTCGTTGGAACCATCATTTGGATTGTAGTATTCATTTGCCGACACAAAATCTACGACAGTCAGCTCAAACCATCCGGACCAGCAAACCAATATCAAGATCCTTCAGCACTTACTTCTCAAAGACAACTCCCAACACATCCTCTACATCTCCACTCTCACCTTTTCCGGTGATCTTGGCCAGCATATCAGCCGCAAAGCGCAGATGTTCCGCAGCAGTGACGATATCGACCTCATGTTCAGCATGGAAATCAAGAGGGCCGAGTTCTTTCTCGCACAAGGGGCCACCAGGGGATTCAGCAGAAGAGGCTTGGGATAGGAAGTCGTCCAGATGATCGAGACATCTTTGTAGATTAGAGCTTTGGCGATGCGTGACACCTAAAGAATCTTCCCAATACGAAAGATTATTTTGACCATCTCCATCTCCGTCCATGCCAAGGGGCGAAGCAATCTGCTCAAAAGTCGTGATTAGTCCACGTAGAAAGACCTGTAGATTACCTGGGTCTGTAGTGGTATTGAGAGATGATGCTCCCTGCTTGGCTTCCTCGCAGGAAATGGCAAAGACGCGGTCTACTGGGACCGAAGGGAAGATGTCGTGGATCGTATCAGATAATGACTGCGGTACACCACGTTCCAAAGCAGTGTGCAGCTTGTCGCATTTGTTGATGGTCACAACGAGACATTTCCCCGCCTCAACGCAGTCATTAACAGCACCAAGGACTTCCGGCTCAACGAACAGCCGGACGCCAGTAGCAGTGTCTTCCAGCGAGACAACCACAATAACGACATCGGACTCCAAAGCCCTCTCCCTAGCCCGACGAATACCTTCTTTCTCGACAGCCCCAATAACAACCTTTTCTCCATCACCAGAACCATTCTCGGCCCGAATACCCGCCATATCCCCAAGCTTACAATACCATCCCCCAAGATCAACTCCAACATCAACAATATCCCTCGTAGTCCCCTGCTCAGTACTAACAATAGCAGCCTCCTTCCCAACAACCCGATTAAGCAACGAGCTCTTGCCAGCATTGGGCGCACCCAATAGCGCAACCCGAATGCCATTCCTAAGCAACTCCCCGCGGGACGCATTAGCAATATGGAACCCGATTTGCACGCTCAGCGCGCGCACCTGCCCCGCAACAGACGAAACTAACTCCTCAGTTGACTCGTCGAAATGCTGGTCCTCGGAGAAATCAATCAGCGCTTCCAACTCGCCGCGCGCATACAGCAGACCCTGGCGCCACCGCTCGTATCGGTTCAGCAATGCGTCGCTCGAGCCTCGTACGGCTAGCCGTCGCTGCTGCTCAGTGTCAGCGGAGAGTGTGTCGCCGAGTGCTTCGATCTGAGGCAAGCTGAGGCGGTCGTTCATGAAGGCGCGGCGGGTGAATTCGCCTGGTTCAGCGTAGCGCACTGTTTGCTCTGGGGTGTTTGTCTGCGCGATTGCTGAGAGAACAGCTTTTGTTATTGCTGGTCCGCCATGGATGTGGAGCTCGAGGATGTCTTCGCCTGTTGCGGTCCGTGGGGAGGGGAAGTAGAGGACTAGCGCGCCAGCGTCGAGAATTGTATTTGCGGTTGGGGGTTGGGTTGGGTCGTAAAGGGTACGGAGGGCTGCATAGCGTGGTTTTGGAAGGGGGTGGTTTGGGCAGATACTTTTGTATATCTGGATATGGTTGTTAGTCGGGTGATTTGGTGGTTTTGATTTGTCTTGAGGGGAATACATACCGAGGCACAGGCCGGACCCGATACGCGTACAACTGCAATAGCTGCTCGCCCGGTTGCAGTAGAGAGGGCATAGATTGTAGAGTCTCCATCTAGCATGAATCTGGCAGGGCGGGTCGACGAGAAAGCTCGAGCTTGTGTGGGAGTCCGCCGGGGGCCTGGCGATTCGGAGAGAAAGCCATGACGTCGGATATAGGATTTATTTGATATTGTTTGCCACGGTTGACTCCTTGATGGGCAGAAGGGAGAAGCCCAACGTAGTACTCGGTGAGTAGCTCGCATGCGCAAGATTAAACCAACGCAATATTGGTAAATGTCAAGAGTATTCAAATGTTCAAAATGTCCAAATGTTGGCTCAATGTTTATCTTGCGATAAGATGTGCACGTGATTAATAAGAACTATAGATTTTGTCTAACTGTGGGTATTTAGATCCTGATCCTGAAAGGCATAGGCAATAGCAGTCCATCCAATGCAGCTCTGGTCAAGGATACACAGCAGATATAAAACTTGATCACGCCTGCGCTCCGAAATAGGAAGTAAAGAACAAGGTGACAATGCAAGAAACATTGAGCATCAGGCTCAATATGCAATTCGATGATACGCCCTCCAATCATGGCGACATTTCCATGGCAGATAGCGTTTGATGAAGACAGGGGGAAAGAGATTATGTACAAAGAGAGAGAGAGAGAGACAGGGAGTCGGTGTCAGATGAGTATGCGGGAGTGGATAACGAAAAGAAAAGAGACAATGATTGCACATGAAGGTATACTGTTAGGAGGGAAAGGAAAAGAAGAAACAAAGAAATGGTATCATCACACCATGCTCGGCTCGTCAAATCAAGGAGGGCGGCTCAAAGAGTAGTGTAGGTAGGGAATGGGTATTATACAATCGAGGGCGGTTGTAGTAGTAGTGAGTGGTGGTGTTGATGGCGAAGGAACCCATTTAAGTATAGATCCGTTGCGTCATCAATGGGAATCGATAAAACATTAAATTAAATCGGCTGTCGGTGATTTGACTCAATCCGACAAATCAGTTGGTTTGGGGGGAGAAGAACCGTCAATTGAGGGATCATGTGAGCAAGAAGCGTCTTGCTCTGATACAACAATTGAAGGCGGAGGTTGAGACTCGTTGGGTGGGCTGGGGAGTTGTTGGTCGTCTGTAACCATCGAGTCTGCCTGCGGAGAAGCAGGCTCTTGAACTGTAGCAAGGCCACTAGAGCCATCCGCGCTATCTTTGCTCCCGCTTGTAGCGGGATTGCGGCGTCTCATGCGGCGATTACGACGCTCTTCGTCTGCGCTTTCTCTTCTCCGTCTCTGGCGCTCGCCACTGCCTGAATCGGAATTACTTCTCAGGCCGAGAAGCATGCTGGCAGCACGATCGGCAACGTCTTCGCCTTCAGACACTTGACCTTCCTGCTTTCCATCTTCTTCTGCGATTATTGGAGGGCTGAGAAGACCGCTCTCGTCATTGATTTCGCCACTGGCTGTTTTTTCAGCCCCTTCTTCGCCTTCTTCCGCCTCGCCCGAATCAGGAGGTGGCTTGGAGCCTGAAGTTACGCGGACGTTATGCCGCTCCTTTAGACGAGCACGACGGCGGCGGTCTCGTTGATCCTTGGCTTGAGGCGCTGCAGCACGCAACTTCTCGAGTAACGAGTCCATGGCACCACTTGAAGCAGGCGACTGCGCTGCCTCTGCAGTGGGAGTGTTGTTGGCGAGGTTGGCATTGATTCGCTTACGGGCGAGAGATGCTTCTGTGCGCCTTCTGGATTCCTCTAGAGACGTGTTCTTCTCTCTAGACTTCTTCCACTCGATCAAGAACGCGCTCAACTTAGCAAAGAACTCTCGTCTAGCATTCTCGTCTGCGTTGTCTTCGCCGTAGAAGACCATGATATCGTCATAAGCCTTGACCATCTCATCCAGGTAGAGCTGCAGCTGCTCAGCCTTCCGTCTAGCATCCTTCATGGATCGCTGGACGACTTGGCTGACACGATCCTGGGGGTGGAACCTCTTAGGATCACTCAGGTTACCGGCGTCCAAGCTCGACTGTACGTTCTTAATGTTGCTAATGTACTTGACGGCGTCAGAGCGGAGCTGATCGACATTAACCTTCTGCAGGCCAATGACACCGCTGATCTCGTCAAGGAAACCCTCCCATTCTGGGTACTGGTTGCGCACGATACGCTCAACCAGATCAGCAAAGGTGGTCTCATTCTTGTCATCCTTCACCATACCCAGCCGGGCGAGGGAGCTCAGCTTGAAACCCTGGGCCTGCTTGTTGGCGTCGTTCATGAAGTTTCCAATGTCAAGAATCAGACCGAGCACGTTCATCAATGACACAGAGTCTCGCAAGGACTCGCTGACTCGTGCGACTTCTTGTAGCCTTGTGGAGATGTGCTCGTACTCTGGTTCGTAGGTGCGAGTCAGAGCAAGCGCTCTGTTTCTTGCTTTCCAGTAGTGATTTAGCTCAAATGCAGTGTAAAGATAGATCTGATCCTCGCGGGTGATCTCGGAGGGATCCTGTTCACGCTCGGTACTAGCGGCGCCAGGGCCCGTCCAATCCATACTATATGGTGCCATAAGCTTTGCGACGTTCTCTGGTATACTGCACATTTCGTCTCTTTGTAAGAAGTCCATAACGACATTATTATCCAGGATCTCCTTGTCACAGTGGATGATCATGCGAGTCACCTCCTCGGCCGGGTATTGAGAGAATTTAGACAGAGCAATCTGGAAGTTCTTGGATAGATCGTTCGAGATAATCTGTTTCTTGGCCGTGCGCTGCTTCGCACCAGTGCTGGCTCCAAATATCTTCGTTTCCTTGGCCATGAACAATCGCTCAACCTCATCCAATACACCCTTCTTAGCAAGATCGGTATATTTCTCTTCCTTCTGCTCAGCAGTCGGTGCATGAGCAGCCCAAACAGTCACTTGAGGAGTATCGACCTTGTCCCAGTGCAGAGCCTTGAGCTTTTTCTTGGGTCGAATGGATGGCATGTGGATTGTAGATGGCGAAACATCTCCAACCATGTATGTCGGTCTCCAGCCTGCACCTAAAGCACCGCTAGGGGGTGGAGGCGGGGGGATCATCAAGCCCTTGGCTCCAGGGATAGGGGGAGGAGGGGGAGGAGCAAATCCACCACCACCTGGAGGCGGCGGCGGAGGCAATCCAACTCTCCCACCTGGGGGTGGAGGTGGAGGCGGCAGTCCAGGAACACCCTTGGCGCCACCTGGTGGAGGCGGCGGTGGGAGAGTCATTCCGCCAGGCGGTGGGGGAGGAGGCATACCAACCCTTCCACCCGGGGGAGGCGGCGGGGGAAGAGCCAAGCCCCCTGGTGGAGGCGGAGGAGGGAGAATCTTGCCTCCTGGCGGTGGAGGTGGGGGAAGAGCCATAACTCCCGGCGGCGGCGGCGGCGGAACAATCTTACCACCTGGAGGAGGAGGAGGCGGCATAGCCTTTGCAGCAGCTTTATTGTCTTCTAGTACGTGTTCCCCTTCAACGGCATCGGAATCTTCGGCATCGAACTTAGGAACCTTGGAAGCAATCTCGCCTAGCAAGCCGGTAGCCTGGGCGGGATTCAAACGAGGGCGGTGCATTTCCACCAGACGAGGCTTCTCGTACATCGGCTCGCCATTACTATCCACCGGGATGTCCTCCACGTCTTCCAGAGTCGAGTCCATCGTAGGAATATTGCTGCGCTTGCGGTAAACAGATCCCAAAGAACCAGGGTCGAGGTTTCGGCGGGTAGCTTCAGCAAAGTCCTCACTGTCATCCGCTTCGCCTTCCATCTTCTCGCGCAGCTCACGGAGTCGGTCAGATGGTCCATGCTGGCCCCAGACCTTGCCCTCGAGCTTGAACTGGGTCTTGGTCCGCTCGAGCTGGCGTTCCAGACGTTCCATGAGTTTTTCGCGATCCATGATACCAGGCATCTGGGATGGATCTGCGGCCTCCGCCGTCTCAGGGTTATTGGCCTTTCGGGCATTTGAGGCGGCAATATCCTGGGCGTCTCGAAGCATAAGGTATAGTTCTCGGGTTTCCAGCTCATTGCGCTGCAATTCCTGAGCACGTAGCCGTTGTACTTCTGCAACCTCGGCCTTGAAAGATTCATTTTGCCTTTGTTGCAGCTCAATAATACCAGCCTGTTCATCGATTTGCTTTTGCAATTTCAAGACTAGGCCATCTGCGCCAAGCTCAACCTGCGCTCGCATCTCATCGCGCTCAGCAATGGCAGCCTCGGCGATCTGCCGGGCCTCGAGAGACTCGTCATAGACCCGTCTTGCCTCAGCATCGGTGTGCAGCCGATCTAACAGACTCTGTACAGTGAAAGTGAGACCCTGTCGGAGATCAAGGTCAGGCAGCCTACGGTCCATGGCCACATAGCTCAGCATAGCATCTACCAACTGGAACATACGGAGCCCTTCCTCGCCAGAGTTCTCCCTGATGAGGAGCATGTGTTGCATAGCTGAGAGGAAGTAGTCGTGGGACCGGCTGCCGTTGATCTTGGACGTGATTGCATCGACGATTTGCATAGGATCGCTCATGTCCTTGACTTCGCCTTCGATACTATCCTTCATGCTGCTGCCCTCCCGCTGGAGGAGGTCCTCGTAATCGATGGCCTCGTTCTCGCGGAACCGCTCGATTTGCTTGTCGATAACCTCATACTGGAATCCCTCCATCTTCGTCAACAGACGCTTAATTCCACATGACGTGAATTGGGCGCGGATGTGGCAACGCAGCTGCAGGTCCGTTTCTGCTCCGTCGACCAGCATATTGATGAGGATCATGGTTGAGACCGCGTACTCCATGAGGAGGTTCTCCATGCCAATGCCTCCGCTGCGGTACTCTTCACTCGCACCGACCAGACTTCCCATCTTTCCACGACCGTCGATTGTGACCTCGACAATACGCATCCAAGCATCGAAGCGACCAGTTTCGTTGTGGTCATTTTTGACTTTGTCCATGGATTGCAAGACCTTTTGGTGGCCTTGTCCATCACCCCAGTGGCACAAGAAAGTGAGGACTTCGCTGACAAGTTTCCGAGTATTCAGACGTGGCGATGATAGCGAGGTGACGAGTGCAACTAGCACATTTTGATGCTCTAGAGCGTCGTCTGCGCCATACTTGTTGTTCATGAGACCTTTCAGACATTTGGCAATATCGTATTCCCGGTCTAGATCTTTATCGCCTGTAGGAGGTGCCGGGACAGGACCAGAGACTTTTCGTCTGTTGATCTTCAAGAGGACATTGGTTAAAGCAATTTGACCTTGGGCTTCAACAAAGGCTTTCACCCAACTGTTGTGTTATTAGTGATATGCACCAGATCGAGAAAAAGGGCAGTTCATACCTGATTGGCTGTGTCCGCAAGCTGACACTCAGACTAGCAAGCTGCTTGGACGTAATGGTATCATCCATCACCTTCTTCACATACCATTCCGGACTACCTTCTTCATCAGCACGTTCAAGCAAACCGGACAAGCCGTCGTGGCCATGAGTTTGTCGCGCATTTTGTCGTCTTTTTTGCTCTCCTTGCAACTCCGTCAAGCGATCCTGATGTACCAATGTCCATTTCTTTGAAGCGGGGTACGACAGCATCTGCCGTTTGGCCTGTTCGGGAAGGTTCTGCCATCCTCGCTTCTGCATCAGCTCTAGAAACAGCTGATCCACAATACGGTCATCTCTCGGTCGAGTGAGGTAGTTATCTTGTGGCCGGGGGACAGCGGCCGGTACAGAGATCTGGTGGGAGGATCCCGCATTTGACAAGCGGCCCGAGCTGGAGCTGGGGAACATGGTGCGGTCACCAGAATGCGAGGTTGTGAGAGTGCGAGAGGAATTATCTGAGGAGAAGTAGCTTGAACCGCGCGTGTTCGAAGAAACGGAGGAGTAGATGCTGGCTTGGTCGAGGGAAGTGCGGGAGTTGGAGGACGAATCAATAGAATAGGAGTTGTGATTAGGCCCACTATTCGCTGCAGAGCTGCCTGGCCGTCCCCATTGTTGTGGTCTGGCACCTCGGTCGCCGGAGTTACTGCTGCTCAGGGTGCTGTTTGAGGTGCTGTTCGAGGTGTGCGGAGGCGGACGGGGGCCAGAAGGATGTGAAGCGTACCCATTTGGCGCAGAGGTAGAGGTCACGGTCGGATATTGATGGTAGTCGCCTCCAGATTTCCCCAGATGGTTGGGCGAGGGCTCGTGGCGCGATGAGCCAGGGCGAGAGTTGTCGATGGGAATCGGGGTCCTGGTGTCGGTGGGTAGACTTTCAAAGGGGATGGAAGTGATGACGCCCGAGGTGTGTGCGATACTGCTTGGGTCCAAATCCTGGGTCATGTCGACAGATTGAATCGAAGACCGCTTCGAATAGCGGGACGAGCGTGAGCCCGCGGCACTTCCCGGAGGTGCCAGGCTATCGTAGGGCCCTCCATAATTATCGTATCGTTCCTCGGTAGGTTTCTCTTTGTACAATTTTCGTCCGAAGAATGACTTTCCGCTCGATGTTTGCCTAGATTTGTCGGCTTGTGAACTCGGTGGCATTTTGGCGGGCGTCACTAAGATGAGGCAGGGCACAGCATAAGAGCCCCTCCAACACTCTCGGGAACCGTATTAAATAAAGATGTCGGTTTCGCGATGATGCGCTGTCGATCGCAAGTGATATGGGATAAGGTGATGACATTCAAATGGGGCGAAAGTGGCTCTCTGTATTGTCCCTCCCTGGTTAGTATACCCGTTGCTACAGCGGAGTCGCAAGAGACGAGGGGTAAGGGAATTTCTTCACGGGCACTCACCCCACAAAGAAGGCAAATTATGAGAAAAGAAAATTAACATGCAAGCCTTTTTTGCAAATGTTAAGTCCAGTTTGACACCAGGATCAAAGCCCGAGCGTTCATCTAATCCGTCCTATTGATATTAGGGGGCTCCCGGAGAAACTCCCCGACCGCGCACGTGATCGCCAATATCACGTAAGCTTATACTTGAAAGACGTCCAGGGCACTTGGAACGGAGTTTCGAAGAGCAATTGTGATGAAACACCCATATATTGAGAATCTGTATTCATACTATCAGCCACATATTAGCGTCATTTGCAGAATTCTCACTATATAGTTCCGAGGGTGAGACAGATCAGTACGAACTCACCTGGGCATCACTACTGCCCAGGCACTGAATCATCACCATCACGTCAACCTTGAGCTTTTCCACTGCCATGCCATGGAGGCATTTGTCCGGTATGGCCATAGAAGTGAGCGCATACATCGGTACTAGGTTAAGGAGCCATATGGGATATGGCTTCCTTCCATGAAAACTACACTAGGAAAGCGCAGCCCAAAAGTCTACTATAAACCCCCTTCTTTTTCCTTTTCCTTCTTCTCTTCCAACTAACAACAATATCAACAACCCCAGAGGAGCATTTCCAGCTCCAACCCACGACGATAGAGGAACATGTAAGCCCGACTTGAGCGGGGCTTGGAGAGAAGGAAGGGAAAGGGATATATTCTCTGGAGTTTGATCTCCATATATGGTACCCTGTCAGTTCATAGGCTATATTTTATTTACAACTCCTTGTGGCATACCTAGCTAGTAAATCTTACTTAGACAGTTTGAAAAATGTAAATAAACTCATGATAGTGCGATATATATTACAGCAAGAGGGCATAGCCAAGGAGTTGAAACTCAAGCGGGTTTGAGCCGAAGTCTACGAAGGAGAAAAAGGACAAAAAAAAAACAGAGATTCATTAAAGAAAATGTCACTCTCCTAGATATCGAGAGAGTCGTAGCAGACCTACTGTTGATCGTTCATATTATCGAGTGATGAGCAAAGGGAATAAAGGAGAAAGATGAAAGACAAGGGAAGTTCTTATTCGGAGTTATTAGCGACTATTCTTGGTACTCCTAGCACTGATGCGGCCGCTGGGACTAAGTAGTCTCACTGTCCAACATCGACGCATTTTGTTAGAGTGCCTTGAGGGTTAGGCCACGAGAAGGTCAAGTAACTAGTTTTCCACGAAACCGAAACTTTTTTGAGTAACGAGAGTGTGATAGTATAAAAGTTCAAACAAAACTCTGAGATCCCGAGTGGTCGGTGCTTTGTCGATCTGCCGATCCTGAGTTTAGGCTCCCCCCCCCCCCGACCTCCGCAATTTCTCACGCCAAACCAAACCTCACTCAACCGTTGTATTTTAGGCTCCGAAGCCTAATTTCCCACCCAGCATGGGATCAGCAGGTGTCTTTGCCAAGGTACGCGCAAAACTCCCTATCTCGAGGCACAACGTCATCTCCGGCAGAAGCACATTCCATGAAGATCGCGACCAAAAACCAAACTAATAAACCCCCACAGACAATACTCATCCCAGCCGCAATCGCATTCTCAATCTATATCCTAGCCTCATGTGTGATAATCCCCTTCTTCCGCCGCTACCACCAACGATACTCGCAATACCTCCCGCTACACAGTATATCGGCGCACACTCTCTCCCTACGCGATCGCATAGCCGATAAAGTGATGCATTTCTTTCTTCCGTCTCGGTGGCGGTTGGGCGCACGCATAGCCGACCATGATACAATCAGCATTGACGATGAGGAAGGGGAGACCTTGGTTGGGATGGATATGGATTCTGTGAGGCGGGGTGCGCTGGAGGAACGGAGGCGTGATACCATGGCTGACACGCAGAGTCGTTTGAGTCGGGATTTGGAGCAGGGCTTTATGGATGACAGTGATGATGAGAGGAGTGAGAATGGACGGGGAGGGAGGCTTTGAAATGTTGGTGGCATTTTCGCATATATATATATATCTACATTCTTGGGGTTAGGTTTTTGTCTAGAGATATTTTGCAAGCTAGATGGTCTGGTTTATATGTTTGATGTTTCGAGCATGGGTGTGTACTTCGTGTATATAGTTGTTCTGTTTGTTTTTATGCAATTGCATGTAGCAAGACTTGGTTTGGTGAAACAATTGATATCTATGTATTATAGACTATTCCTACTAATCATACTTGATCAAGAATTTCTAAAAAAAAAGACACCAGCTAGGCTCAATTAATTTGGTACCACTAACAGAGTTCCACCGATCATCATGCACAACTCTGCATATTATACCCCATATCGAGCTTTGTACGTCAATGTATAGAAATTTAAATGCAAATCGAAGTGGAAAAGAACTGAAGGTTATAAATATTATTCATCGGTATCGTGAAAGATGCTACTTTTTTCAGCATCGCCCATGCCATCCTGAGCAAATGGGACTGTTATGAACATAAAAAAGACAAGATATAAAAGGATGCATCTCAGCCGGAGAATGCTTCACACTGCATCATGTAAAGACACTTTCTACTTGCGCTGACCATAGGCCTTGGTGGCATAATCACCCTTGTGGACAATCAAGTCCTCAGGACGGTAGTCCTCACGGCCGGAGAAGTAGCTTTCCAGGATGTTCTTGGTACCGTTGGCGTAGCGGACCTGGGCATCGATGGAGGTACCGGACATGTGGGGAACCATGGCGTTACCGCCACCCCAGGGGTGCTCGGCATAGCGGAGAGGGTGGTCCTTGGGGGCGGGCTGGGGGAACCAGACATCACCACCGTAGCCACGGAGGTGGCCAGACTTCAGGGCCTCAGCGACATCCTCCTTAACGACAATGGCACCGCGGGCAGTGTTGACGAGCCAAGCACCAGGCTTCATCTTAGAAATGAGATCCTTGTTGAAGAGACCGCGGGTCTTCTCGTGCAGGGGGCAGTTAATGGTGACGACGTCACACTGGGCGAGCATCTCCTCGAGATCGTCGACGCGACGGCAACCAATCTCCTTCTCGGTCTCGGCGGAGAGGGGCTGGTAGTCGTAGTAGAGGAGCTCCTTGCAGTCGAAGGGCTTGAGGCGGCGGAGGACACGCTCACCGATACGGCCGACGGCGACGGTACCGACGACCTTGCCCTCGAGATCGAACTCGTTCTTGGCGACGGCAGCGACATCCCAGTCGCCGTTCTTGATCTGCTCGTGGGCAGGGACGAAGTTGCGGACCAGGAGGAGGATGGTCATGACGACGTGCTCAGCGACGGAGACTACGTTGGAGCCGGTGACCTCGGCAACGGTGATACCGCCGTTGGTGGTGTTGGCGGCGTTCAGGTCAACATGATCGGAACCAATACCGGCAGTGACGGCGAGCTTGAGCTTCTTGGCCTTGGCCAGACGCTCAGCGGTGAGGTAACCGGGGTGGAAGCTGTTTTATCGTTAGTTGGGGAGTTTTTGAAAGTTTATGCCATGAGAAACGAACGGAGTGGTGATGATGACTTCAGCGTCGACGAGCTCCTTGTCGAAGGTGGAGTTCTCGCCCTCCTTGTCGGAGGTGGTCACCAGGGTGTGACCCTGGTCCTCGAGCCACTTGCGGATGCCGAGCTCGTTCTCGGTGGTACCGAGCAGCTTAGGCTGCTGCTTGGAGTGTTCACCACCCTATATGACAGAAGAGTCCAGGTTAGCGATTGAAGTATGTCCCACATGAACTGAGCATGACTTACATCGTAGAGAACCAAAAGAACTTTGCCCTGGAGATTGGTAGTTGCGGTTAGCGTACGTGCACCTGGAATAGAGCCGGCCAACGGTGAAGTCCGAGTGAATGGGCTGGAGGCAATCGTTGCTCGAGAGAGCTTGAGGGAAAGGGCTGTCAATTGACGAGGAATAGAGCGGATAAATACCATTGTGATGGATTATAAAAAAAAAATCAAGACGTCGCTAGAAAAAAAAGGTCAGCGCTCTGTTATAATGAATAAATGCACATCTCAATGCGGTCAATGTCCAAGAACGGCGTTATAGAAAGCTGGATGCGGCAAGGCCTGAGAAAAGTGGGGAATGTTGTAGCCAAGAAATGTGACTTGACTATAGGGGAAGAAATAGGAAAAGTGATACAAGACTTACAGGTAGAGTATATCGGAGTAAATCGTAGTGTAGTAGGTAGTTGGATAGAGAAGAAATAAGAACAGCAAGAGCTGATTATATATAGGCCCCCTCTCTCTTTACAGGCAATTGCATCCCCTCAAAATAACTGCCATAGAAACGGGAGAGCCGGACACTGAACATCCACTTGGAGATCTCTCCGCATGAGGGACAGGGGGCCAATGTTGCACATTCCAAGGTTGTTTGGAACTAAAGCCTATCATCTTTAGACTTTAGGTAACTTGCCACGTACCCCGAAGCCCACATACATTGTATATTACATATTTTACTATGTATCACTACTGCATATCTTAAACCTTGGAAAGCTCTAAAGGGATGAACGTGAACTCTTGATAGTATTTATATATATGCAGTATATACAGCTATACAGAAGTAAAATTCACCTTTCATACAGCATCTCTCAAAGCTACATATGTATCTACATCGCTATACCCTCCCAATAGTTCCCAACTCATCAGCCCACCAAAAAAATGGCCAAAGTTACCCCGCAGGGGGGTAGGTGATATAAGCTTACGTAATGAGGGGGTGGAATCTACGCGCAACCGCCTAGGTATACCATCTACCCCCAACTGTTACAGATATTAGCATCTCCAACCTCCTATAGCTCCTAACTCTAGATTCTATCTCACCCCCAAGTTCCTCAGCCCATCTTTGCTACTTTCACGGAATCCCGGGCAATTACCGCCTTTCTGCCGAAGTTCGGCCTTCGTGCCACCTTCTCCAACTCCGGCCCCGCTACTTCATACTCCATACAGGTACATCTCCTCGCGAGGAGGTCTTGGAGAACCGTCCTCGGGTCCACTAGCTTTCCGGATCAGATCATGATCACGGATAGCATGACCGCATCAAGGGCTCGAGCAGGATTCCTTTATTTTTAATCCACCGTATCCCGGGTCTTTCGACCCATTATGTTTGTCTTTTCGCTGCGCGTTTGCTGAACTGCTGGTCAATTGGACAACTGCAATGCGTGTTTTGATTAGCATTGCTCCCCGGTCGGACATGGGATTGCATTGCTACGATGTGATGTACCACATTGGGTGTCGCATGTGGACATTGATCAGCGAACCCTCAAAACATTTCCCTGACCGATGTTATAGTTACGAGCCCTCCGATCGGAAAACAGACTATACACCATTACTTTCGCAGGATGCCGACGATGCACTAGCTACCCTTCCTAACTCATCCCAAGATTACTCAAATTACCCATGCAACCGGTCAGGATAGTCATGAAGTGCTGGTCTCGAGGCTTTGGCGCATATGTCGTATGACCAGTGCGGGGGAGGCCCGGGGGTCGGATTCGATTAGTCACTCGAACTTCCAGCCTGCAGTGGACGGGGAAGCACGTCAAGCTGTTTCCGGGTACTATTGCCATATGAAATATGTGATTCCTTTTCAAATCCAGAGACGCTGCAGTCGTTGGAACCTCGAGCATTGTCCATGCGTGACGATCCATTAACATCTCTATCTTAGATAATCTAACACATTCGCAGTCAGACCCCAAAACGTTCCACCGATGAACTACCTCTGTCTCAAAAAAGACCTCCAAAAGACCTCCAAACATCTCCATCCACAAGGCTATCCGTAAGGCTATTACCAGCACCTTTCCTTCGGTGATACTCCCACGATATTTTTCCATATCGATGCTAGCATCTGGACACTTGGATCATGTGCCCAATCGCTCGAGTCCGCACAGACCTCCGGCCTCAATCATACTTCTCTAGACAAATTAGCCGCCACCATACAACGCAGAGAATAATTGCAGTCCCCACTTTCTACAAGAGTATGTCTTCCGTCAATATTACGACAAGCTGCATCATGAGTGGAACATGTATGCGTCGAATATCTCACACCGGGCCAGCTCCCTTGTCAGCCAGCGTGACAGTTCCAAGAATACCATTATCCTCAGCTGGCACGAGCTTGAATTGGGAACATTGCGATGATAAACTGAATGCTATGGTACATTCACAATTTCGAGGCGCAACTTGGAATTCTGACCTCGGGAATTTAAAGTATCTGTAGACAACCATGTACATGATGGGTTTTCGTTCATTGCAACAAACATTCCAAGATTGAAAGCTCTCCATCCCACACAAGGCATTGGGGAAAATTTCCTCTTTGGAAGCCTGGCCACAGGTGCTGGCTAGGATTCTCAATCTTGCGTATCTTTTTTAAAATTGTTTTTATACAAGACTCTTGCTATTTCTGCTTTTACCTATCTCCTCCCCTTTCAAAAAAAATATTCAGGGATAATTGCTCATAATTGTTAGATCTGCAGATCAGACGTGGGGATTTGATAATCTCTGAATCTCCGATTTCTCGGACTCGGCACTCGGACATTGGCATCTCCGTTATTTTCTAAACATCTTTTTCTTTGAATTTGTCTACCTTCTACCGCTTCATCCAAGATCATAAATTCAATGCGACCAATACTCGCGCAATCGCTCACGCGCGCCTGGAGCGGGCGAACCTATCGAAACTCCCAGACAATCCGTCTACTGTCCAGTAAACCTCAGCGCAGCAGCAGACTCCGCGCGCGCCTGGAAATCCCCCCTCCCTTCCCCGTTACCAAGACATGTCCTGAATCAAACTGCAATTGTCCACCTACGCCCGACCTGCCGGAGGATCTACCGATCGATCATGAACAAGTCTTGAATGGGACGATGGCTGCCTACGCGCAGCAGATTCTCGTCTGTACAGGACAGCCAGACTGGACGAGTCGCATTGAGGAAGATGGCGAAAATAAAGGCTGGGGTAACCTTGTGAGGGGACTGAAGAGCTTGCTAGGTCGTGGCGGGCCGTATCTTGATGTAAGTG